TATATATATATATATATATAATATATATATATATATATATATATTTATATGTATATATAAATACATGTGTACATATATGTACATGTATATATATACATACATATATATGTATATATATATATATATATATATATATATATATATATATATATATATATTATATATATATTATATATATATATATATATATTATACATATATATACATATATGTATATATCTTATATATATGTATATATTTAAATATATATATATATATATATATATATATATATATATATATATATATATATATATGTATATATACATGTATGTAAAAATATATGTGTGTGTGTACTCACATACACACGCACATATAGACTCTTGTAACCTGTTGTCACGTCAGTGTTACAGAGTCTTACACACCAGAACACACGGAAAAAATATATAAGCTATAATGGAATTGTTCACGGAAGTACATCCGATCACTATCTTATATCTTCTTGTTTTAAAATCCAAGAGACTGTATCTAGTCTCTTTCGCAATTCAAATATATTACCTACAGGGAACATAGAGAGAACAATTTCACTTGTTTTGAAAATTATATATCTAATCAACAACTGACGAATTCATCAATCACTTTAATGAAATCAGTGAAGTATTGCTCGATAATCTAAGCCTTGGTAATGAAGACTACGTATTTTGCCCGTCATAACTCCTATCTTTCAACTTGGATCTTTAACACGGTTGAAACTATCTAAAATCGGTAAATCATTGCACTGTAGCTCCCTAGGAAATGATGGTTTGCCAACAGCTATCATCAAGAAATCTATCAGTGAATTCAGTCCTCTGCTAGTGCATATCTGTGTAACACCTCCTATTCTGCAAGTATTTTCCCAGATGAACTAAAACAGCAAAGATCACCCGATTCACAAGGGTGGTGCCTCTGGGTATGCTAACAATTATAGGCCTATATCAGTCCTCACATCTTTAAGCAAAATTTTAGAAAAAGCAGCGTATCTGAGACTATACAACTACCTAGATAATCATTCGATAATCAGAAAATCACAGTATTTCAGATCTCCCTTTTCAGACCTCTCCATGATCGTAAGGGACTAGGGATATGAGCCAGAAACTGCTCTCCAGTGTTTTACGAACCATGTATTGAATGCTTTTGATATGAGCCAGTTTACCATAAGGTTATTTATTGATTTGTCGAAAGTGTTTGATAATGTAAATCACGAAATCTTGCTGGACAAGTTACTCCACTATGGCATAATAGGAAATTTTCACAATTGGTTATCTAGTTTTTTTTTTTTTTTTTTTTTTTTTTTTTTTTAATAAGCAGCAGTATTTCAATATAGCAACAATAATAGTACAATAATAAGGAAGATGAAAATAATAATAATGAAAAAATGATAAGGAAATAACCAAGGTAATTAATATAAGAATAATACCATAATAACGAAAATGAAATCAATGACAATGATACTTTTAAAAGTAAGATGTGGTGTCCCCCAAGGACCCATTCTAGGTCAATTTTTGTTTCTTAGATACACTAATGATATAGTAAATTCAAGTAAATTACTTAATTTCATCTTATTTGTAGATGGCAGCACAATCTATGCACAATCTCACAGTAACATAGTAAATCTCCTCTAGACAGTAAATGATGATCTTGCTCCTGTAACAAGTTGGTTAAAAGCAAATAAACTGACACTAAACAAAAAACTCACTATCATTTTACACCGTAACAAAATAATTCTCACAAACCTAAGGCCAATTTCCATGAACAACTTACCAATAAAAAGGGGTTTATGAAACCAAGTTTTAGGCATAGTTGTGGAAAAGCTGTTGAGCTGGAAAAAGCACATCCAGGTTGTCAGAGACAGAATTTTTGAATAGTGTGGAATACTGTACCAGCTTTGATGAATCTTCATTGATATGTATTACACTCCAGTTTACCCCACCTTGATGTATTGCCAAACCATATGTGGTGCCGCCAGTACAACCGCCCTACAGCCACTGAACAAAGTGCAAAAGCATGTCATATGAACTATTGTTGGCCTGAGGCGAAGGGACATACTAATGAAGCTTTCTATAAATTACATATCTTAAAGCTATCAGATATTCATACTCTGCAGTGTGCGGTTTTTACCTATAATGTTTAAATGGTTTAACCAGTCAAGAGAACTTCGTAAGGTGATTGACAAACATATAATTCTCCTACTTTGGCCTTTTATTGGTCAGGTACACTTACATTTCACCATCTGAAGACGATGTGACTCTCCTTACTTACACCTCACTGTAAAACCTCCATTACAGAGCTACTCTGGTGACCTGACCAACCATTAGATCCCCTTTAGATACCTGGCAGAATCTGTATACTGACGTGCCATCGCTGCGTAAGATGTTGCAGATGGATCGAAGATGAGCCTTTTGCATGGCCGAGTGATGTAAACATTATTGTTCCATAAATCTGTCCCTGGCTGAAACAAAGGCTGTCCCTTCCTGTCGAAGTCCTCCTGAGTCTACATCACCAGAGGAAACAGCTGCTTTGCACCTTCTGCACCGAAGCCAAGTTATCCCTTCCGGGTGACCTGCATCTCACCCTCGAGCAACAGCTAAATAAATCTGACACTCCAGCAGGCAGAAACGAGCACCTGCCCTCGAAGGGAGCTGCCGCATAAAAGGACACATCTTGTCAAACGGGAGGAGAGAGAGAGAGAGAGAGACGACAGACGAAGACACAGAGGGTCTAGCTCGTTATTACTCCTCCCTCTTGGGGTCTTACATCTATCTTCAGTAATAAGCCCATAATCCAAGACCCTTTCATTCACCTGCACTAAGACCCCTCCTCTCTCGTTTATATCTGGCGGCAAACAGTGGTCTTGCGTTCATATATATATATATATATATATATATATATATATATATATATATATATATATATATATATATATATATATATATAGTGTGTGTGTGTGTGTATATGTATATATATATATATATATATATATATATATATATATATATATATATATATATATATATATATATATATATATATATTTATATTATATTTATATGTATATGTATGTATGTATATGTATATTTGTATATTTGTATATTTGTATATCTGTATATGCATAGATGCATATACAAGTATATATAATATCTATATATTTAAATGCATATATAAGTAATCACTCACACGTATGTACAACAGACGAAAACAAACAGGATTAGATGGAGATACATACCCATATTCGCACATGTATAATACACATTTACGCAAATATAATCACACTTAAATTCAGTCCTTCAATCAATCACACACAACCCCCTCACTCAAAATATTTGCATACACAAAAATCACTCATATACACATCCATTTGTATGTATATACACACACACACATTCATGTATTAAATATACACACATGCATACATATTTGTATACACACACATGCTCATAATGGCACATATTAACAAACACAATTATACATACCCACAATCATCACACACACACGCATCTCTATACACAAATACAGTCACACGTGCACTTACACACCCTTCTGCAATCGTTATTTTCTCAGTGTTCGTTTTATCGTATTTCATTCACATCTTACTGATATTTTTACGAAATAATAATATCTCCCAATTATTTTTTTTCCTGAGGGGGAGACTAATCTATTTGATCCTGTTTCTTCCCTCATATTTTCCTTAGGATATTATTCACTTGTTTGACATCTGCTTCTTCTCTTGCTGTATTTTTGTCTCATCTTTATTTGGGGTTGCTACTCCTACTTATTTTTTCCCACGTACTTCTGTTATTCATTTCTTTATCTTTCATTTTTTCGCTTCATGTTATTTCTTTCTATATCTTTTTTATCTTAATTTTCTAACATCATCTTTTCTTTCCTTTCATCTATTTTTTATCTTGATTTTCTAAGCTCACGTAGTTTTTTCTACGATACTGTTGTCTTTAACCCCCCTCCTACCCCCACTAATTTTAAATGAATTCAGATTTACAGTCTGGTGTATCTTTGCTCTTTCTGTGACCATTTGCTGCTCGAAACAGGTCGTAAGGGAAGTGAATCGAGGTGATATAAAATTCCCCGGAACCTTTCTAATAAGAGAATCACGATGAAAGATTACTAAATCAAGCAGGAAACATAAATTAAATAGAAAATAAACTGGATATCTGCAACTTCTTGGTAAAGTGGGGGGTGGGGGGGGGCAACGAGATCTAGGTCTAAGGCCCACTGTCTAATTACCTGTTAATCACCCGTAAATCACACAATTGAAAAGATCAAAAGTCGAGCGCTGGTAGAACAGTATTCCCATATTGCTCGGAACTCCAGCCCGACGGCCACGATATAGCTTCAGCGATTAGATAACACTGCGATAGACAACGTTATCTTATCTTAACCTGTCGTGCCCCTTGTAGGCTTGGGCGGCCATGCAAGTGTGCCTTACCATGGTTTTTCTTCGATACTAGACGGTAAGGCTCATTTCCTTGGCCGCGGTTTGGCCCACGACGCCTTATGGGTCAACGCACAAACCATCTTCAAAGTCAGAAGCTCAAGTAATACTTTACAGAGGTTAACGCTGTCACTATACTACACTATTACACTATGTATATCTAAATGAATGAATATATGTATATTCACACACGAACGCACAGCGCTTGCATCGTTCCCGCCGAGCCAAGTTGTCCCAACTTTCCGCTCGGAGCGGCCGGTGTCCCTCCGGTTTCCCGAGCGCATCCGAACTCACTCAGCAACCGAAACAGAAGGGGCAGCAAGGACCTTAGCAGCCCACCATCTCGCTCTTCTTTCTGCTTGCATAGGCGTGCGTGCGTTAGTGTGTGCCTGTTTGCGTGCGTCGTTTGCGTGCGTGGACATGCATGGGTGTTTGCGTGTCTGTGTGCGTTGCGTGTTTGTGTTTGGCTTCGTCCGTAAGCATGTGATATATCTCACACCATCCGAACACGCGGGGTAGTGGCACGCTGCCGCCG